CCTCAGAGCTCACGTTCGTTCGTGTTCGATACATAAAAGTGCACATTGAATGACGGGAGACTACAATAGAACATATGTATAACCTAGGCTGCAGGATATTGAGCCATGGCGGATGCTGGAGCAGCAGGCTGCGGGATGGAGAATGGTCTATCATCAAGCTCACTGGTCCGGGCAGTTCAGCAAGGCCGGCCGGTATATGCGGGCGGAGCGGTTGACATGGGCATGATGCATTCAGCAAGCTCAACAAGGTGTATGATGTGCCAAAGGTGTTGCGTAGAGGCAGAACCGAAACACGATTGGTGGGCCGATCATACTCGGGGGGTGATGAAGGAGGCAAGGGTGGATTTGCGCGGTTTCGACATAAAGACGCGTTCGATACACTCAGGATACTGGCGGGCATGGACGTAGGTTGAAATCAACACGGCTGTCAAGCTCGCGTACACATGTGCTCGCGTCGTGGTGAAGAGCCTCTGAAGTGACATGCCTAGTTCCCCACAGTTCAGTGCTGCGAGCACAAAAACTCATTTGCACAAGTCTTAGGCGCAGAATTTCTGACGGGCGGACTCACGATTCTTGGGTGTAGAGAATATGGTCAGATTCTCGGATGCGGAGTATCTTGAGACTTGTATGACATGGTCAGACAAAAACCAACGCTCAACGATCAGATTCTCGAATGACCGAAATCGCGCCCGCGTGATGTTCAATATCTCCCAGATACTGTCACCACAGTCTCATCCATGCAGCTGTGTAGAACGTCTGGTTCACTTGGATCATCCGGGGGGGCCTCATTCGCACGTGATCTACACGCTCCCTGAGGAAGTGACCGCCTGCGCACCGCCAAGTTGCTGGTGATGAGTAAGGCGTTCGTGTATGCAGTCAGACATACATGTAAAAGTGCCTCTGATATATATTTGAGTACATTTGTGTTTTTATAAGCCCCCTGCAACAGAGAGTACCACTGCAGCCCAAATAGCTGCCAACGGCGGGCTACGGGCGCGGTATGTGTGCGCATCAGTCACGTGCGGACGAGACCCCCCCGGATGATCCAATTGTGGATATGGGCGTCAAGCGCCCATTGCCAATTCCCCTGCATAGTGTCATTCAGGACAATCATAGCACTCAAAATAAATATGATCTTGAACTGCAGACAGCAGTTGTTGCATGCAGACTGGTACAAATCTGTATATTTATATTTGCAAAGGTGGGTAGTCATATACATGGTCATGGTATAGGTACACACAGCTGCGAAATGTCCAAGGCTCGAGTGTAGTAGGCTGGGTGCAGTAGATGGCAGGAAGGTGCCCAAAAACAGCAGCATCGCTAGAGAGCAGTATTTCCGTAAGTATTAACATACACAGAGAGTCATTACATGGTCCTCTACCCAAACAACACGTTGTTGCTACCAAACTGGAACCCTTCACCCCACCCAAGTCTGCCATCACAGCGCAGCTCAGTGGCGGCACCAACCGACGTGATAACAGTCAGAGGGTACGCAAGGCTCAAGCCCTGTTGTGCCTTCCCCTGTGCGGTCTGCACCTGCAGCATTTCCATTTGGTCCTGTATACTACATCAGCCAGTCAATCAATATGTGTATAATTGCGGTGCATGCGCTGTTGGTGAGTAAGGTTTGGATGTCAGTCATCCTTGCAAACTGCCAAACTGTAGGGCACGGGAGAGAGAACGTACCCTTCACAGAAGTTACTCGGTGGCAAAAACTGGAAGTACCAAGCTATTGTGTTAAGATTGCAGTGCCAGTGATGGCTGCACCTTGTCCCAGGGCCAGCCAAACTCACACAAGAACTGCCAGGCTCCACTAATCACTGGCGCCCAAGGACGTCTAGTCCTTTCTGTGTTCGCGCTGGGAGTTGTGCACCTTGCAGTTAGAGCTTGTATGATCAATAACGCACAGCAGGTACATGAGTTGTCGCTCATATGCAGGCTGCCTGGAGGCTCAAGTCAGGTGTCAGCTGCCAAAGCAAGTAGGCACCACAATCAGCAACAAGACGCAAGTCGCAGACTTCTAGCTTTAAGCCTGCAATGCCTGATGAACATAGTGGAGATGCGTGGAGAGGTGGTGCAATACTGTGGCTTGCAGGTTGGCTCAGAGCGCTAGATGGCGTGCGGTGCTGCATGACACGTTCTGGGCATCATGCATTGTACAACAGCAGAGCAAAGGCCGAGTGCTATTGTTGGTGTGCCAGCCCAGAGCATGCAGCGACGCGCAGCGAGTTGTGTACCGGTCTCAGGCTGATGTCACAAGCATGGTGAGTGGTCCTTGGGCCTTGTGTCTGGGTCGTAGGCAGTGCAAGATGAGGGGTAGAGAGCACTAGCCATGGAGTATACTCCATGGCAGACAGATCACTACTTTGTGAGATTCTGGTTTGAGCACAACACCAGAGCAAGGATCATATATGAGCACATGGGAAACTCTGACCTGGTATTTTGGAAGTGCGGAGGGACTGGATGCGGTGGAAATAACTGCGAAGGCTTTCACCACTCTGTGGTCTCATCTGTTTTGGATGTTCCTAACTGATAGTTTGTGCATTTAAGTGTTGCATCGTTGAGATATGAATGAAATGATTATATTTGCAATGGTTGATACTCATACATGGATGTCGTCGAGGGCGGTGGCCCAGAAAGCTCGAATGCAGTGGGCCAGGAGCAGACAGCCGGAAGCTTTGCTTATGAAGCCGTGCCACTTTCAGCCAACCAGAAGCACTCCAGGGAGTGGATGACCTTCCACCAGCATAGCTGGTGACGGGTAATTTTGTAAGCATTAAATTATGTACGGACATGTTCGAGAGCAATAATTTTTTTAAATTTTGCAATGCTTGTGGGTTTTGAGTGAGCAACAGCGAGTTTGTTTGTGCCTTGGGAATTAGACTCATAGGCGCCAGCTGGCACATTAGCGCAAGCTCGGGTGCATGGCTGATAGTCACGTGACTTTTGAGCGTGCACGGTTCGGTCCATAACCCGATTCTAGGGGAATCGGAAGTGGACCAGACGCTCTAACGAGCCAGTGCACTTTGCTTTCAAAGTCCGATGCACTGGCCGACATTGTTTACACGTCGGAGTTAAGAGCGGATGGGAACGAGACTAGCTACTTACATCCAGATACTTGACACTTCATGCGTCCGCGCCCATTGAACAGAGTGGTAGGCCTAGGCGTCCACCACAGCAACTCTATCCCACCATTGTCCCATCTGCTGTAATTTCATTCCTGAACTGCGCAGCCCCGTACGTTCGTTCTCCTTGCTGCAAATTACCGTAAACCGCGGCGAGGTTTCAGTAAAAATTGACGGTCTATGGAGAACAGCGAACAGCGTTTACGACCAAGGTCTACGGGAGGATCGTCGGGAAAGAACCGGCTGCGAGATCGGGCCACGTGTTTGTCTTATCTCGCCAATTTCGTTTCTCACGATCTTCCTTGCCAGTCTCACGAGAGATTCTGCTTTGTGCTCTAAGGCTCCGATAGTCCCTGTATCAACTAAGGTGCCGGTGACGGGCAGTCGGGCACACAGCACTTACCATCTATGCTCCAGTCTCACAAACCGAGTTTGAACTAATACACGCGAGGCAGATAGAACGTGAACTGCGCTGGCATAAAATAGCAACGGTGGGCACGTTGTTCACCGTTCACTTGCACACTTACACCACGCCTGACGCTTGCACTCGCATCCTTGCATCACATATACTCCCTTTCGTGTATTCTCTCTCGCTCCAGACGATGTCGCCCGCTACAGGAGCCGATTTATCACCCGAGACACTGTCATCCATCCTGGACTGCCTCTTGCCGCTTCTTGCCGATTATTTCGACTACACCCCAGATAGATGGCGCCGATTGAAACACGAGCTCGTTGCGCCTAGCCTCGTGTGCAAGCACTGGGCGGAAGCCATCAGACCTATCCTCTTCCGACGACTCGCCTTGCGCAATGTCGAAGATGTACAGTTCTTGAAGGACATCGTCTATAGCCCTCGGTTCGCCATCTCATCTCTGTTCAGGGCCGTCAAGTGGATAGAGATCCATCAAGAAGCTACAGAGGCGAGATCTTGGCTTCACCACGTCCATGGACTTTCAACTCGACTCCAAAAGACAAGGTTCAAGTGCATCGTCATGAGCCGCACGGACGATCTTGCATCAATGACCGGCCGTTGGGCCCCATTTGACTCGATACCGAGCGTTACTCCATCCTACGTCCGACTTTCTGTTCTCACCCTGAATGGGCTGGTGTTCACGAGCACGACCGAGCTCGCACGGCTCGTCGACAATTTCTCCACGCTCGAGGACTGCTTCTGCGACCAACTCACCTTCCTTGACCCGTTGCCCGTTTTCCAGTCACGCAGAATCCGACGGCGTGCTCCGTTGGCCTTCTCCAGGTGCAGGATACAGCAATGCAAGGGTATGGCAGTTTCCGTCCAAGCAGCGCTAGCTGCTGATATCCTTGCGGCCGCTCGCCGCATGGGCCTTGACGAACACACATGGGATACAGCCCTTCAAGCACTGCTTGTGTTGGTACCAAACACATTCGACAGCACGCCTGTGTATCTTAATAATCAGAACGGCAGTATGTTTGGTGCGTCTTCTAGCTCATGCGAACAGTGCAGAGCTCACCAGCTCTTCCTCACTAGATGCGGTGAGAATCGAGTGCCGTCCACTCGGTCAAGGCGTGTCTATCAATGATTCTATCAATATCGACGTCAAGGTTTGCCGGCCAAGTGTGGACCGGGGTGCGGAGTCTCCATTCGCGCATATCTCGAGCATCGCATTGGGGCTTTCATTCGCGGATGTCGAAGCCGTGGATACATTTAATTGGGATGTCTTGAGAGTCGTTGTCGATTCCCCACACATGCGCTGCCTTCGCATCAACTATTTCGTATCGCACGGCGGCGTGAAGAGGATCCTGTGCTCCGTGTTGCGCCGCACGCAGCTGACCTGGGCTCTCGAGTCAGGCAAACTGCAGTTCGGATACCGCTATGGGGACGGATCGGTTACAAGCGCAGACATCTTGTCTGTGCCGACGGAGCACACTGTCGATGATACCACGATCACCCTGGACATCGCTGAACAAGCCGAGTGGTTGCTATACCCGGTTCTACGCCGTTACCCGGGTCGCACTACAAGAGAGGAGTACGTACGGCAGCTCGTAGCCGAGCGCACGAGCAGAGTATCCAAGGACACGGGCTCAGAGATTGTGCCATCTACCGCAGATAGCACTCCGTACACAGCGGTCGACTAGGCCCAGGAGATGCCGGAGGCCACTATGCAAGGAGGCGAAGAGTACGACGTAGTGGGCGGTGGAGATGAAGAGGATTATCCTTCGATGGAGCTTTAGGGCGAGCGTGGACGTATTATCGGGCGGGCGAACAGGCTCTGGGGTAGGCGCGAGTGTGGGCAGAAGCGACTTCCACAGAATTTTTAGGGCGTCGTGTCTCATTTTGGAGTCTTCACTTTAATTTGTCATGGTTTAGGTCACTAGCTCAGACCAGCTTCGGTTATTACTCTCTATATATCCTGCACATTTTTCTTGCTTCATCTTTCTTACCCCATCGCTCGCCCCTCTGTATTTGTAGACTGATGTGCACGAGCAAATTAAGAGACGGAATAAGACAATGTATTTCCCCTGCTGCAGAGCGGTGCTTAGTGCCCGGCCCGAGATCTAATAGTGTGCACCGCACGGCAAAGGGAAGATCATGTCGCTTGTCGAGATGTATGGATATGGATACAGAAACGTCTTGAAAAAGCGATTGGAAATCGACGATACGGAAGAGAGATACATAATCTGGGCCGCTCTCGAATATCAATGTGGCTTGAAATTCCAACAATCAGCTGGAAGACCGCGAGATTTTCTGGGCACAAAAGCACATTGGGGGCAATGCCGAGGATCTGTCAGACTATGGATACAACTAGCCAGTTTAGAGGAGCCAGGTTCCAATAGGACACCAAACTGACGGATATCGCGACAGAGGTATAAGCCCGGTGACCAAATGTGCGAAGCGCGACGAATCTGGATTTAATTGGCATAAAAGAGCTGTCAAAATATCCGAAAGCGCGACGCGTCGCGAAATCCGTACGGAAGGTGCTTACTTCCTGTGCATTCTCCGGCCCCAATGCAGGCTGCGATGGATTACAGCACACACGTTGCAGTGCTCCGGATCCTTGACGGTACCGATGATACTGGGACAAGCATGAATGCGAAGTTCGAACCAGGACGCAGGGGGCGTTCTGGCGAGATTTGCGCTGTTGTTGCGCCTAGAATACAGAGAAGGAGCCGCAAATAATTCTGCATGAGAGTTAAGGTGGCCCGTTTGCCGCAAAGAGACGAGGCCGATGGGAGATACTAGTCAAGCGGCCAATAGACAAAGTATGCCACGCCAAGATCAAGGGAACGCACAACGAATGAGTCCCGCTATCTCAGCTACCTCCTCCAGCCCAGAATGCGTGCATACGCGATGTTTTCCGCTGAGTGGCTACACAGCTGCACGGATGAGACTGTGGTGACAGTATCTGGGAGATATTGAACATCACGCGGGCGCGATTTCGGTCATTCGAGAATCTGATCGTTGAGCGTTGGTTTTTGTCTGACCATGTCATACAAGTCTCAAGATACTCCGCATCCGAGAATCTGACCATATTCTCTACACCCAAGAATCGTGAGTCCGCCCGTCAGAAATTCTGCGCCTAAGACTTGTGCAAATGAGTTTTTGTGCTCGCAGCACTGAACTGTGGGGAACTAGGCATGTCACTTCAGAGGCTCTTCACCACGACGCGAGCACATGTGTACGCGAGCTTGACAGCTGTGTTGATTTCAACCTACGTCCATGCCCGCCAGTATCCTGAGTGTATCGAACGCGTCTTTATGTCGAAACCGCGCAAATCCACCCTTGCCTCCTTCATCACCCCCCGAGTATGATCGGCCCACCAATCGTGTTTCGGTTCTGCCTCTACGCAACACCTTTGGCACATCATACACCTTGTTGAGCTTGCTGAATGCATCATGCCCATGTCAACCGCTCCGCCCGCATATACCGGCCGGCCTTGCTGAACTGCCCGGACCAGTGAGCTTGATGATAGACCATTCTCCATCCCGCAGCCTGCTGCTCCAGCATCCGCCATGGCTCAATATCCTGCAGCCTAGGTTATACATATGTTCTATTGTAGTCTCCCGTCATTCAATGTGCACTTTTATGTATCGAACACGAACGAACGTGAGCTCTGAGGCTCTGTGGGCGCCATTCTGTTGCGGGGAG